ACAGCTCAAGGCTTCAGGATAAAAAAAGGGAGGAAGGTCCCATCCCCCAGCCCTCCAAACCCCTTTCTTAGCAGCTGCAGGCAAAAATACCACATCTGCCTCCAACTGCACCACGAGTGACAGTCACCAACATATTGTTATTTAAAGATCAATTCCAAATGCAATACTGCTGTTCCTAGGCCTACATCATCCCTGCGTCTCTCAGACTCGCTCTGCGTTGCTATTGGGAAGTGCAGGGAAAGATTGTCTTTCAAAGCCTATTGATTATTATTTAGGTGCCTTCTAGTTGTTTGTTTTTTTTTTTAATGAAAATGAAGGTATCAATATTGCTTTAATCTTAACAGTAATTCCCCCAAAAGTGAAATACGATGGAACTTGAAAAATACATCAAGAGGAAGCAAAAATTAAATTGCCTGTGAATGCACGTGTATATCTTAAAGTCACTGAATTCTATACACAACAATAACATCTTCAGGTTCATAAACCTCTAATTTTTAAAACAGAAGCAAGAAAATATTCAAACCCAGACAGGGTATTTTTCAAGGTGGAGATTGCTCTAAAGGAGGACAAGAGGGCTTTAAAATGTGAATAGGCCAGCTTTTTATTTTACAACTTGGACACAGAGACCCAGGCTAGTGGCAGAAAGGGCAATCCATTTTGCACACTGAAACAGTCAACCCGGGGAACAAAACCCAAGGAATTTCCACACAGACCACGCAACCTAAACACAAAACAAACAAACAAACACACACATGGGTAGGGATTTGGCTTTTGTTTTGGGTTTTTAAAGCATTTTCTACATGATTTTGACATTGTAATGCTCGCTGGAGCCTTTGTGATGGGGGGAAGAAATCGGAGGAGGGGGCTGGTTCCCTGCTAAAATGTATTAAATAACTACAGAATCCCATAATGTCAGGGACTGGGTGTGCAACAGTAACTGATCATAAAGGATGTATTAGGACTGGAACCAAATGCTTTGACAATATTATTGCACTGCTTTATTTGTGCAGACAGTAGTGCAACATTGTCAGAGCCAGCGATACCAGCAGCCACTGTCACGTTCTGCACAGCTGTCCCTGCATCCTTTTGTAAGGGACTGTTACATTACAGTGTTAACCACAATAACGTTTTTATGTTTAGCCCCAATAAAACTCTGCATGACAAAGTTTATTTGCAATTGTAATTAGACAAGGTAAAAAAAAAAAAAAAAAGAAAAGAAAAAAAGGGAAAAAAGGAAACTAACAACAAAAAGTTAGTAAAAAAAAAAATGACAGGGAGGGGGGAAGAGAGAGAGGTAGAGAAAGACCTGTTAGTATGGCTTGTTAAACAAACCATTCCAGTCTTTTGCTACATGCCCAGTATATTGAGGCACGGTACGTTATAAAGGTTTTATACAATCAAATATTTTGCTACAGTAATGGAGAAGAAAGGAACAAGGGCCATAATTCAGCATCCCCAAATGTATGTGTTTCCATAAAGCCCAGATTGGCCAGTCAATGAATCTGAACTACACCATTCAAACAAATCTCTTCAGTGCCAGCCCTTTCCTGTGTCTTCAGAAGTTTTCTTATTTGTATTGCGTGTTTTATGGTGGTTGACCAGTACAGATGCAAAAGGCTGATGTGTGTGTATATATAGAGTGGTATAAATACACAGTACTTTGATTTACTATGGAAAACGTTACAGAAATGAGACTTGTGTACAAAAATACCTAGCGCCTGTGCTTCCATCTCACATATATCTGTGTGTGTCACCACCCAAAAATCAGAGTAGAAACACTACAGAAACAAATCAACAACATTAAATCCCTATAGACACAGGGACCTTAAACATATAGGGGAAAGTTTCTATCAGGGCAAAAACTATAAAGGAATCCTTATAAAATTTCAATGTAGATATTGTTGGAAGTGTGTAGAAATTAATAATTAATTACAAGTAAACAAAGCAGGTAATGTGATGCCTTGAAAGCTCCCAGAAATGTTTGGAGCTTATGTTTTAAATAGGATGTGTTTAAATCATTCCAGCCCATGTCGATAGAAAGACATCTAAAAATGCAGCACCCAGAATCTCTCTCCTTATTTAAAACCACTCCCACATGTATAAAACCTTATTTCACACACGTGCATAAATACACTGGAGGAGGCATCTATTTTAGGGTTGTTTGCCCACTCTGAAGAGGGTGGGCTGCTAAAGGGGGTCATGTTTCTGCCAGCCAATGCCCTTTTAATATTGCACTGCTCATCATAATTGCCAGTAGTACAACAGAAAAAGGGCTCTGGACAACAGCATACTTCAGAGACTTTCCAAAATAAATGATAAATCAGCTAGAAACTTCTCCAAGTGATGGCCTTCTATGCATGATTTACTCTAAAACAGATTTGTTACAGTCAAAAAAAAGGAGTTTCTTCAACAACCACATGGTTTCAATGTCATTCTTTAAAATTAGATTTCAGTATTTCACAACTTCATCTCCAATTAAATTCAGCAAGAATTTAGATAAGCTTATTTTAGGGACTTTTTTCTTTCTTTCTTTCTCAATGGTGAATGTATTGCATTAGAGCATATGAAAGCAAAGACCGGAATTGGGGTTGTCCTCCTGGCAGTTCAGCACCCCAGTATGGTACAGAAGTAGGTGTAATGAATGGAATTAAATGTGATCTTAAAGACACAACGGAGGAGATGTTCATATCCTTGCCATTGCTTTCACCTGAATTGTCTGCTACAATATTTGCTATTTATTATACACATGCTTGTAGGAGCTTAAATTATTTGGTTTTAATTGCTAGGGAAGTCTTGCTCTTTTACACAAGCATCTAAACAAGCTTCCAAACCAACTGCCACCCACGAGTGAGAGACCTATAAAAATCATCTACTTGCACCATAAAAACATTACTGTTGTAATTTTTCCTTTTTCAGAAAGGATATATGGGTAGTAAGGAAAAAACATCCGTTAATCATTAAAAATCAGACATTCCAAATAATTTTAGCAATAAGTAACATTTAAAAGTCAATTTGTTAGTCTTTAGTCTGCCAACTGTTTACCATTTGTTTCTCTAAACAATTTCAAACTTAAAGCTGGAAAATGTAACTATTTGTTAAATAAGAATCGCTTGAGAAATCATAAAATACTTTTATTTCAAACTTCAAACAATGCAAAGAAATTCGATGCAAAGAAATCCAAACTTGAAAGCAACTTTCCATAAACTGTATAGACAAGTGAGAATCAGAGCAAATGCTAAAATGAATTAAACTGATTGGGGGGGGGGGGGGGGGGCTAAGCTAGAAAATGCTCTAAATGAATTCTAGTTGTCAGATTTTCAGAGCAATATTAACAAAGCCATTTGATTTGGAATTGTCCAATCTCAGTTAGAATCTTGAATTAGATCATTCTTACTTTTTGCTTTAATTTGAATGCTTCCTCCTTTTTTTTGTTCAATAATTTAGCTCTAATACAGAATCCTCGGCTAGTTTGGAAATGTTAAAAAGAAAAAAAGAAAAAGTGAAATGTAGAAAGAAAGAAAGAAAGGAAGAAGGATGAGAAAGAAAGAGAAAACAACTAGAAGAAAGAACGTGCTGTAAACTTTAGGAAGTTTTTGGGCTCTCGAGCCCCAGGTCTGTGCTCAGGGTACAGCCTTTCCTTACACAACTCGAAGACCACACACTGGAGGGAAACGGAGCGGAATTGGGGCAAAGTGCAAGAATGCCAAAGAAACACTTTGGGCTGCGCACCCTGGTTTATTGCAAAAACTCTACACTATTTAAGCAAAGCATTAGTTTTACGAGATTTAAATATTAAGCCAATATAAATACTGGCTGGAGATAGCATGTGACTTAACTGCCTCGCTCGTCGGGGCTTTAAGCAAAAAAGAGAGGGGTGTTCTCTAACAGGATCTTTTAGCAAAACATGTTGTCTAGAAAGACAGGATCTTTCCTGCGTTTCGAAGCGGGAACCGCGTTTTCACGGCGGAGCTCTGCGGCTCCGGGCACAGGCAAACCCGCCCGGGAAGCGCAGACCGGCGGAGCTAGGGGCGCGGGCTCGGCCCGGCTAGGAGGATGGGGCCACACTCCATTCCTTAGAAGAGTTTGCAAAGGTGAAAGGTTTGAGAGAGTAGGGTTAAAAATAAATTAGCTCACCACTATCTAGAGATGTGCAGCCAAGCCCGCCAGCAGCCGTCTCTCCAGTGCTCCTCCGGCCAGCCGCACGGACGGCGCACACCCCCCGGCCCCTCTCCCGCTCTATTTCCGCTGGCACACACCGCTGTTCGCCGCTTCTAACGCTCCCAAGTTTTATTCCCAGCCCCGCTGCCGCCCGAGGCGGCTCCGGCCGCCGGCTCTTTTCAACACCTCATATCGATCGCACGCCAGAGAGCAAACCGACCAGCGAGAACTTCGCTCGGGAAACCGCTCCGCTTACCGCGGGGGAGCCAGAGGCTCCCGCAACGCCCGCGCCGCAGGCAGCCCTCGCCGGGAAGCGGCGCGGCCCCGCCGGGCAGCCCCCGCACGGGACGAGGGCGCGGGGTCCACCGGCGAGCGGACCCCGCTCCTCGCTTCGCCCCGCTCTCTTCGTAGTGCTTTCCCCCCCCGCGCCCTCACTGCCCCGGGGGGGGATCGCCCCTCGGCCGCCCGCCCAGCCACCGCTGGCCCCGCGGGCCATTGTCAGATCCGCGGCGCGCCCCGCCGTCACCCCACGCCCCCTCCGCCCGGGGGGCCCGCAGCTCCCGCCATTTCCGCCCGGGCAGGCGGATGCGGCCCCCGGGCGGCGGCAGGACCGGCGGGCCCCGCTCGCTGCACGGTACCTGGCGGCGGGAGGGACGGATCCCCGCACGGCGGGGGGGAAAGTTGCCAAAAGAGGCGCAAAAGAGGCGGTGAGAGCGGCCGCGGCTCCGCACCCCTCGGACCCCACCTCCCGCCGCCCCGCGCCGCCGGCCGCCGCCGCCCCGGGCGCGCCTCGGCGGGTGTCCCTGATCGATCCCAGCGTGGGCAAATCCTCCGGTACCAACCTCATGGCCGCCCCGCTCCAGCCTCCATCTTTGACTAGTTGACATTCAGCTCCTGCCTGACCAACTCCTCATTAGCATACCACCCCCGCCATTGGCTCACCCCTGCGCTAGTCTTTGCCACCTCCTCCGCCATTGGCTCCCGGGGAGGATATTTAAAAATATTATCCCTGCGCCCATTGGCTGGCGGGCGCTCACGTCACGGCTCGCTCTTTATTTTAACAATGAATGCACAAACACATTCTTCCATTCACAAATTTCTTTTTTTTTTTTTTTTTTTTTCTCAGGACTTTGCCCGCCTTTTCTCCAACTACATTTTCATTGATTTTTTGTTTCAACTGAGGGGGTCCCGCTTGTAAACAGATAAATCAAAGGCGAACAGAGGGGGGACCTGAGCAAATATTATCTTCTCTCTCTTTCTCCCTTTTGTTCGGCAGCGCTGGTGTTGGGGGAACAAACCTTATCCCCAGCGGGCCCGGCCCGGATCGGTGCGGTCGGGGGGGGGGGGGGCTGCCCTGCCCGAGAGGTTGCAGCTCTTTTGCCTCTATTTCGGTTTCAAAGCTCACCCTCTTTCCCGCAAGTCGAAAAGCGAGCTCTGCCCGGGCAAAACAAACAGCTACGGTTGTCACATTTAGGAGCGTAATTATTGCTGGAGGTGGAGAGGGTGGGTTGGGGGGGGGGGGGGGGGTCCGTGCCCACGGGAGAAGCGGCTCCGCTTCCCCCGACCTAGCGGGCAGCTGCGGGGCCGCCACGTTCCCCGCCCGCTCCTCCCGCAGCCGCGCACCCCGTCAAGGCAGGCAGGGTCTGAACTGAGAGCGCCTAAAACACGCCAGGTCACTTCAGTGCGCTTTATGACAACGAGAGCTTTCCCTTTGGTTTGCGCGGTTGGGTTGAAATCGGGCGATATCAAAGTTGAAGGTTTAGGGAAGGAAGCTCCGTGGTATTCCTCTTGCCCTGCAAATTGTAAAACACAGGAATCGTTGATAAAGTATTGAACAAAGACTGGGAGAGTCATTGAGAGTCTCTCAGAGGGGAATGTCTTGGTGAGTTTCTTCTCTGAAAAGATTTCTGCTATATCATTAATTAACAAAATCACAACTGGGCGGTTGCTTCCCCTTTAAAGGACACGGTTCCTCTTGTGGAATCAGATCTTCAACAACTGATTTCAACAGATGTTTGCAAAATGAAAATATTTTCATACTCCAATGAGACAAACTTAAGAGCAAAGGCACTGGGTGAACTGTGAGACAGCAACACACTGCTGTGGGCAAGAAGGCTTCTCAAATCGTTTCTTAAATAGATTTACTGGTATTTTATTAACAATCTGTCTTTGGGAAATACTATATTTTTCCTCTCATCTGTTGAACGATTTTAATTTTAAAGTACCTTTTCTTTTCATTTGTTAACTAACTTCCTACCAAATTTACCCCCAGAATACAACTTGTGTGTGTGTGAACTAGAGTTTTATATTATACAAAAAAAAGGATATTAGCTATTTTTAAAAATAAAGTAAACTTCCTTTGTATCTATTCTTGGTTTTGGGAGTTGGTTCTGATTTGGATGTTTTCTCCATATATATCTGCGTGCATGGGCATAGCCCCCCAAGCACAAATATTGAACCCAAGTTGTAAATGCTGGGTCTGGGTACTAATGGGTGGGGACCTGGAGCAGTGGATCTCTGGCAGTGTTTTTGGAGATGGGAGAGAAGGGCAGTGGGCTGTGAAATCACACATTCCTGTCCAATGGAGCTGAAATAATGGTATTGTTCTCTGGAAAAGAGGTTGCTTTTCTCTTCTCCATTCTTCCCCTGATCTGCAGGGACCTGATTGTGCAGTTAATCAGCAAAAAAGCGTTTGATGTAAGGCAGGGCGTGAATTCAAAAGGGCCAGGGGGGATTCAAGAGGGATTCTTCTGTCTGTTAGAAAATGTTTTTCTGATTTCAAAATGGTAGCCATTTGAAAAGCTGCACTGGTCTTCCTTCAGAGCTCCGAGTTTGTAGTAGGTACCAGCACTAATTATATCGCTTCCTTTGTGGGTTTGACACTTTACTGCTGGGGAGGAAAAAAAAAAGTAGATATCTTACAGCAAAAGGGAAGATGTCCTTCCTGGAGCAAAGGTGAGCCCCTATATCCCCGCAGTTCATTCCTTCAGCTCGCTATCAGTCGCCAGAGAGTCTCCCAGGACTGCCCTGCTAAATGTTTAGCATTGAACGATTCAGAGTAAAACAAAGCCCCTGGGGACCAGGTAAGAACCAAGTTGGTTTTGTAGCTCTTTGTGGTGACCTGTGTCCTGAGCATGACATCCACCTCCCCGAATCTTTAAACACAGCAGCTTTCCTGTTCCACACTGACTCGCCTGTAAATCTTTCCTTGCCAGCCTTGTCTTGAATGCCAATAATATTTGAAGCATGTTTCTTATTTCAACGTGGTCATTTCCCAAACTTTTTAACAAAATGCTTTCTGCTGTGGTATATATACAACATCCTGCCAGCTTTCCTAGGCACATCGTCTATACATATGTAAATATGTAAATTCGTGGCTATCCCTTTACTTAATATATTATTATAGCTACACAGGAAATGACACATCCTAGAGAAAGGCAATTGCCTTGAATGTTTACGTGAAAAATGTGTAACTTTTACAGCAAGCTCCGAACGGGTTTGTCAGCTTAATTTTCGCCAAACTGCAAATAAAGTCAAGGAAAGGTCCCCACCGCCACCCCTGGGTCCCCAGCCCCGATCTGTCGCTGTGTATCCCAGCCCTGTCCTTCCACAGGGCTCCTGCCTGCCCTGTGAGAGGAGAACTGCTCTGCTGTAATGCTGGAGTGATTGATTTGATTTTGGTGTTTCAGGGCTGGGGGGCGTCGGGAAATTCTTTGGGGTTTTATTTTTGGCTTTGGTGGTGTGCTCTTCCCCCCCTTTGGAAAGGAAAGCTAAGAAAAGACATTTGTTCTGCTGTTGGTTTGCTTTAAAGAAGGGCTCCTTGCAGACGCCCAGCGCTGGAGAAGAATGGCGTTTTTATCATTTTTAAACATCAAGGAGGGGAGGGAGAAAAGTTGCTTTTTTTTTTTCCTTTCCAGATCTTGGGGTGTTTTTGCAGTGTAACTCAATCTGATGTCACGGGGGGTGGAGTCTCCGCTGCGTTTGCTTAAACTGGAGCTGCCTCAGTTCAAGGCCTTGTGGCTGAAAGTTCTTAAATCTGTGGCAGACAGGCATGACTGTTCCCTAATGAGACCCCTGCTGCAATAACGCGTTTTTTATTTTAATCAGCTTCTTAATGCTATTAATTACCATTTCTTTCATAACACTCTTCCCATCTGCAAGGTTAACGTGGTCCCACACCAACAGCCCAGTAACACACTTCACCGTTACCGTCTGTGTGAAAACACATGTACAAACTCATATAAAACCTTCTTAATTAGGTCTTGAACATACATATGCTTTGTGAATGTGGGTGACAGACAGAAACAAAGAGAAGAGAGGAGGGCAAGAAAAAAATCGCTGAAGTTTCCAGAGATATTTACAGAGGCTGTTATAAATTAACTTTAAAATCCATCCTCGTGGAAGGTTGCTACATTTAGGAAAGCTAGGTTTGATTTTTGGTGTTTTGTCTTTTATTCCCAGCTCCCTAGTTGCAAACATTTGCTCCTGTGGACAAAACTGTATCGCTGGATTCCAAATTAATTGATAAAACTCCATGGGAGACAGGAACAAATAGATACATAAAATGTCCACAGGGCAGCATTGACTAGTAATGTTTAAACTTAAAGAGAATGGACTTTTGGTTTGCATCAACTTCAAAAAGAAAAATCACAACTCCTTCAGAGAGCCTGGAAATCAGTCACCTCTGAGCTCATCTAAAACCTTCACTCTCATTTAGCACAGCTACCTTGGCTTCTCTTTTTTAACACACATACTTGCAAAGTGAAGTGGACCCTTTATTTAAACACTGATTTGCATTATCCCAAAACTTGTCCCCAAAATGGGTGAGATCTTACCAGCCCCATGTTTTTACCCAAGTAGTTTGCAAAAAAAAAGTTTTCTTTGAATGGGCTTTGATTCAGACACATGAGAATAAACCAGTTTCAAATTACTCAGTGTATGTCTATCTCTAGCCACATGTTTGTGGCTGCATATCACTGAAATTCAAATTACTCTTTATTTCCCCCCCAGATTCTTACAGTTTTTCAACAAATGGAGCTTGTTGAAGGACTTTTTAAATAATAATAAAAATATAATGGAAACAAAAGCACTATTCACAATAAAAAGGCATCCTCAGAAACGTTTTAGCAATTGAAAAACTGTCAGAAACGATTTTTAAAAGTTTAAAATGCACCAGAGCCACCCCCCCTCAGCCACATCTTTATTTAACAGAACAATCGTTTTAGTGTGATAAAGCAACATCATTTTCTTCAGGACTTTTTCCTATCTGCAGACTTGAAAATAAAACAGGCAGAGAAAACTCCTTGTTTCTTTCCTAAAAATGAAATAACCTTAAATCATTTCCTAGCTAGCAGATGGCCAAAAATACCTTCCATGTTTCCATAAACACATCCAAATCGATAGCTTCAAAAGTGACTGAAAGGAACCGAATGCAGCCAGCCCAAGGAGCTGCACTCGGCTGAGCTGAGCTCTGCCCGCGGCTCCTGTGCTCGGCTTGACAGGATCCGAGCGGAGGGAGCGTCAATGAGAAAAACATTGACTAAATGGAGTTATGAATGAGGGATTGGACGGGAGGGAAGAGAAAAAAACGGAGGGGGGAGGAAGAGGAGAGACACAGCTAATGCAAAAATCAGTTTAATTCCTTAGGTTTTACATTGATGTGATTTTTCCCGCGGATCCCACCGCGGCTGCGGAGTCGTAGTAAAGCCATCCCTAGCCCAAACCCGTCAACGTTCTCGCTCCAGGAAAGAGGGGCATTGTGCTTCTTGGCTCACATTTTCATTTCCCCCCGCCCCCCCTCTCTACTCGTCCCCCATCTCTCCCCCCCCTCCCTCTTTTGTAAATCAGAATGGGGAGGTTTTATAGTGAGTCTAATTCTCACTCCCTCCATTTCCTTCCTTTCTGCATTTTTTATCCCCCTTCCACCCCGCCCCTCCCCTGCCTGCAGCCCTGGTATTGATTAACCACTTCGCTGCTACCCCTCCGTCCTGCCTCCTCCTGCGCCGCGCCGAGCCGAGCCGGGTGGGACCGGTCTGCCCAGGGGCCGGCGGGAGGATGCGGCCAGGGCTGCCCCGGGGACGCTTCTCATCGCCGATCCCGGCGCTCCCGCCGCTCCTGGCCAGCCCTTTGAAGTCAGTTGCACTTAATGGTATTTAATGAGGCTGGTTGGAGTGCCCGGCCGGCTACGGGCGTGGGGAAAAGCGGTAAAACAAAACACCAGCAGACCCGAAACTGGGAATATTTCACCAGAGGGATGCAGCCTCCGCGGCTGCGGAGCGGAGCAGGGAGGAGAGGAGGAAGGAAAAAAAGCCCAGTCCGAGCACCGAAATAGTTAATGGCCCCTGGATGCATTGATTAGTATTGATGGCTTTGGTAGTTTTAATGGATTTGTTGTTTGTGGGAGGTGGGGAGCTTTTGCCTTGCTTTGAATTCTAACCCCCTGGCTGGGAGCTTGCTCCTAATTGCATGCACAGCATTCCTTCGGAGTGGGTGGTATCACCTTTTACTGCTGCTCCCTTCCACAGGGAAGGCCTGTAAAAAATCCCTTTCATGTGCCCGAAAATCAATACCCAGGGCTCTGGATGGCTGCTGTAAAAACAAAACAAAATCCTGTCCCTCCCCCGCCAAAAAATAATAATTATATATCTATATAATATATAGGGGGAGAAAATAGAGCCCCATAAGAGCAGCCCTCTCTCTGCAGACACACTCAAGGGGCAGTTGGCTCCTCTTGCCAACCCCAGGCAAGACACCTTCAGACCGGTGTAGAACGAGACCCTATTTTCACAGCTGCTGGGGGCACTTTTGGAGGGGGCTGCAGCTGGAAGCTGGATGTTTCAGGCTGGTTCTGGTCAATAAAAGTGGACCTGGCTTGAAAACGCCTGCTCCAGTGGCAGGGAGGCTGGAGGAGCAGGAGCAGTGCTGAAGAGGTTAAACAGGACTGGGTGAGTGGGAAGTTGCAGAGTTATGGGTGGAGTTACCCACACTTTTTAAAAAAGCACAACAGAGTAAACAAATTCATCTTTCAGTCAGTGTCAGGAGGAAGGTGAGAGTGCAGGGGCTGTGCCTGCTGCGGCCAGCGCCGGGCTTGGGGAAAGCAAAAACCGAGACAGTTTGTTAGGAAACTCTTAAACCAAGTTTAGTTTTCATTCTGCCCCCAGACCGTGCAAAACTGATACCAGTCTAACTTACAAGTGAACCTCATGTTCACTTCTCTCCCTGCTGGATCTTAATTTCTTTAGCACTGAGGG